ATTAGAGGTGAGTATTCCAAGGTCCTTTACAGAGCTTGGGTCATCAAAATATTGCCTCACGCTAGCTCATATGCAACTGTTTTTGGAACACAGCAGCAAAACTTTAACGAATCCATTCTGTTCTTAAATTTCCACTAAGAACCATTGTAAAAATATGTTTTAAGGAAAAAACATACTGTTAAAATTCCCCGGCTCCCCGAAATTTACCATTTCGGTATCTGACCTTCAGTCATAAGTGGCAGATACAACATTGCACTTCGTAAATAGTTTTCATAAAAAATAATCTTTAAAACAACACAGATGGATGTTTCTACTTACGGCAAACGATAGTGAATTGCTGGAATTTTGTATTTGAACCACCAGTTCTGATTCTCGTCCGATAACTGTCAAAAGCAGATTGTGTTAGCATGAAATGCAATATCCAATGTTATCTCTTCCATGCAATACTGAAAAATGTTTTCAATTGCATGAAAGTGTAGCAATCTTTGAGAAAAAGTCAAAAAAAACCTCATGACTATTGATTTATTAGATGTTTTTCTCAACTTCTTTTTATTTTTAGGGAACTCTAATGTCCAATGTAAAAACATTTTTACAACCATAATAATAAAGAAATACTAAGTTTACTGCAACACAGTATCTGCAATCAACATCTTTAATACTGCTAGTGCTGTAATACAATGTATTACAATATAAGAAATTAGAAGGAAGACAATAAAACCCCAGCAAGATTTAGTGCAGGCACATCATGAGTAAGGGAAAAATTAAATCCAATCTTTTTAAGTATCTTATTAAGACTGGCTTTATGGTAAATGTGATTCATGTTGACTTCACCTATAATTTGATCCAACTAAGAAGCCATCTATGATTTCCCAAGCTCTGTAATCTTACTTGGATGAGGTCATATTTAAGTCCTTTGCAGTGCAAGACCTATTTTGCCACCCATAATAACCATCTATGAGATAAGTTGGGCTGAAAGAATGTACTAGCCCAAAGTCAGTTCTTTGTGGCTAATGTGGCACTAGAACTTGGATCTCCCAGTTAGCTCAGTGTGAATGAAGGGCATTCTCTTAACTACAGGTAGTCTTCGACTTATGACCATAATCGAGCACAAAATTTCTGCTGCTAAGTGAGACAGTTGTTCAGTGAATTTTTGCACCATTTTACAATCTTTCTTGCCACAGTTGTTAAGTGAATCACTGCAGTTATTAAGTTAGTTACACGGTTAAGTGATTACGGATTCCCAATGGACTTTCCTTGTCAGAAGGTCCCAAAAAGTTTGTAGGGACACTGCAATGTCATAAATATGAGGCGGTTGCCAAGCATCTCAATTTAGATCATGTGACCACATGGATGCAGCAACAGTAGTGTGAAAAACAATCGTAAGTCACTTTTTTCAGTGCTGTTATTAACTTTGAACGGTCACTAAAAGAATTACTGTTAAGTCAAGGACTACCTGTATCCAGAAAAAAAAAACCTCAAGAGAAAGAAGTAGTCATAATTTGCTTCAATTATGGCAACTGGCTTCATTCTCTGATTTCTTCCAAATGAACTAAGCCAAATATCTTAATAAATCAACCCAAGATTAACTATTTATTGTTGCATTTATTCATGGATAGAGAGCAAGTAGAGGTGCACATGGTAACGCCATACCACAACGTGCAAGTACGAGCAACCCACAGATTTCACACAATCTCCAGGGTCACCCAGATCTCATTGCTGAATTTTAGCAACAAATTACTGAACAACAAGAAGCAGCATGATTTCCTGCTCATTTTTATGGAAAAATAAAGTAATTTGTCTCTGATAGGTTTAATGCCTGTAACTTTTGCATTACATTTCCTAATGACTTCATGATATCCTCCATCAAAATCCACAAAGAAAAGGGATGTTGCCAGTCATTTCATTCAATAGAAACCACCCAAATTATAAATTAATGCATTACTTTTAAAATTGTGTTTAGAATGCCATTCAGAGCAGTGAAGGAGGTCACATAAGCCAAATCACTTCCATTCTCATAACAATACAAGGAAGCTTCTTGATAGCTCAGATGCTTATTGGCCACGAACCAGAATTCTGACCCATCAATATTCAGTGTTGGCCCATGAATTCCTTCTTCATCTACAAGAAAGAAAGAAAATCACATACGAAGCTTACATTCGGTACAACCTAACATGAACCAGCAAATTCATGCAATCCGAATCATCACATAACATGGAGGCTATGTGAATAAAAATAAAAAAATGCTCGGCATTTTTGATTTAGAACAGAGTACCCCAAACCTTTCAGGGATGGCAGCCCGGAGTGAGTGAGGGGATGATTTTGTGGGAGGGGCAAGTGCATGTGTGCCACAAGCGCCCACGACAAGGCTCGCACGAGTGGGGCCACAAGTGCCCACGAAGAAGCTCACGCAGAAGCGTGCGCTCCAGCAGGCCCCTCATGTGGCCAATGGCGATTAGCTTGTGGCCCAATAGTGGGCCACGGACCACAGATTGGGGATGCCTGACAAATGACTAAATTTGACTTCAATTCCTCCAAGTCTGATTTCAAGCAAAGACATTACAACTTACTCCATCACACAATAATTTGCTAAAGTTGACAAGTTTATTAACATGCTTTGAGAATTAAACAGGCCAATTTTCTTACTAATTACATATTTTGATCAACTCTGTAGTGCAAGAAAGACTGGGTTACACCTAAAACTGGTTCATGAATGGTCATGTTGGGAAAGTAATTATCATTGTCTGTAACTTCTGCATTTCACTTCCTTATGATTTAGTATTTATAATCAACCAGATATAAACTGAATGAATTTAAACATATTATTCTAGTGATTATGGGTATTTGTGTGGAATAGGAGCAAGTGACATATATCTCATGCCATCCACGTACAAATAATATGATGTACGTGCATCAGGCATCATGACATGAGCGCACCATTTATGCAATGACATCATGACACTTTGACATTACAGAATAAGAGTTGGAAGGATCCTTCCTAGTTATTCCTGAAGCTTCGCCAAGTTCCTTCTGGATAAAGGTAATACTTTGTTATATAAATCTTATTTCAAGTTTCAATCACACACACATGCATGCATACACACAAAGAATATATGGAATGCTACTGTATGTTTAGTGTTTTACAAAATACATGATTTATGCAATGTGTAAAAACTCCCATGCACATTCCAGCTATCTGAAATAGCAATACCAGTAAGACTTATATACTGCTTCACAGTACTTTACAGCCCTCTAGGCGGTTTACAGTCAACCTATTGCCCCCAACAATCTGGGTCCTCATTTTACCCACCTCGGAAGGACGGAAGGCTGAGTCAATGTGGTGAGACTCCAACTGCCGTACTGCAGGCGGCCAGCAGTTGTAGCTTGCAGTACTGCATTCTAACCACTGTGCTACCATGGATCTTGAATACTTGAACTGGAATTAAGCTAACAATCCCATCTCTTTTAAAACTGCTATGAGGCTGTGTAAACAAAGGTCCCTGAACTGCAATAAAGTGTATGAAAAGTAAGAAATAATCTTACCTGGTTTGTACCATTCAGGTCTCTTTGGAGTACTACCTGTTGATAAAGGAAAAGCCTATCACTGGATGTACTAATACAGGGATGTCAAACTCGCATCATCACAGTGGCGTCACATGACATATCACGACTTTTTCCCCTTGCTAAACTGGATGTGGGAATGACCAGTGCGTGATGCATCTGGGCCACGAGTTTAACAGCCCTGTACTAATATATCCTTGGTTAGAAAAAGGCTACTTGTCACTTTTTTATTTACAATTGGAAATGTATGACCTTCTAATAAAACAGGAATGTCCAAACTTGAATTCAACAATAATTTAACTTTCCATACATATAAAGTCTCTTGAGTCACTTTAAAAAACTGAATCTAATTGAGGCACGTATCCATGTTCTAAGGCAGCTTCCTTTGCTATTAATATTACACTTTCGGATTCAAGTGGTTCCCCCCAAAAATCCAACATTTAACTGATCAAAAATCCATAGAGTTCTTGTAAAGAGTTGTATAAAGAGGTGATATCATATTCCAAGAGAGTCCTGCAAATAGCAGTACAAATGGAATAAAATAGATATGATTATTCAGAGAACAATTACTTCATACAATGGAATTAATTTTATATCCAACAATAGAAAGAAAGCAAAGAAATTACCCCGCTTTAATTATCAATGGCCATATTTCTGTAATAAAATCTTGTTCCAAAACATAAAAAGAATTTATGATTTGAAAACACTGTCTCCCAGTATTTAAGCACCTGAGTTAGGCTATACCAATTTTATTTCCCAATCTTTTGAGCCTTGAGCCCTTGAAATATTTTTCAATCCTCGAAGAACCCCTGCACATTCAACCTCAACTATAGGCCAGAATTTACAAAATTATTATATTAATTTCGTGTGTTGGTACTATGTGTTTTTAACAGTGTTCATAAACTAAAAATAAAGAATGACTTTTTTTTCCTTTCCTCCTGCTTCCTTCCCTCCATCCTGTCTTTGTGGGTGGTTGCAACCTGGACCAGCCCAGTCCCAGATCTTCCGTATCCGCCTGGAGATAGCTCCCCCCACCCCAGGCTGCTACACACCTGGAGAAAAACAGGCTGGCGAGCTGGCAAGGAGACCCCATACAGGAAATCTCACTTTTGTAGGCTCATTCACCAACTGCTGTTCCTCCCTCCTTGCTTGCTCTTCACCTACTAACTTGTGTGTGTGTGTAATTCCTGCCCCAGCCAGTTCATGCAGGCTCCAGGGGGCCAATCAGGGGTTGGAGGTGTTTTGTTCAGTCTCTCCTTTTTTTAAAAAAAAAAAAAACAACAAATCACGATCCCTCAGGGAACCCACTATAACCTCTTGCAGAAAGCTAGGATTCTGCAGAACTCCAACTGAAAAACCCTGGGCTACCCACGAAGCTAAAACATAATCTTTGAATACCTAGTTTGAGAGGCAGCCTTGTTTTGCTATCAGGCAGTGCTTTTTCCCCCCTTTAACCTCATTGTTGGCTCTAGTTAAATTGGATGGAAAGTCAAAAAGTAGTTTTACATTTAGAAAGTATACAGCGGCCCCGTGGTTCTCAGATCAAGAACTGGCAATTAAGCCTATCTTCAATAATTGCCCTGCTTCAAAGCCACCTTGCGAGTCTGTTAATTTGTAGGGAAAAAAGCCACGGATCTGGAACTACTACAAGAATGAGAGGCATCTGTACTTTTCCATCAATGTTTGTTTGGTTTTGTTGTTGCTGGCACTAAAGATTCTTATTCAGCCAAATCGGGTCTGCCAAGCCTTGCCTAGGAAATAAGGTTACTCATGAAAATCATGAAGTCTGGGGGACACTGCCAAATCCTAGTTGGGGGATACTAATACTGGTTAACAGTACGGCAGAAAAAGAAAGAAAACACTTTTATGTAACACACACGTTCTTGAAATAATGTATGCCAAAGATGGGATTTCAACATTTGATTCAAACTTTTGTCAGATGGAAACGAACTCAAAGTTTGGAGGAAAAAACTGAGAACGTTTTCAGAACTCAGATTTTTTTTAGAGTTACAGGAAATTGGCCAATCATAATGCTGGCATATTGAAAAAAAACGAAGGAAAAGATAATCCTATATTTTAATGCTTTTATCCTACAGACTTTTATCTGGAATGAGCCATGCTGAATACAGAAGATCTCCTTTCTAAAAAAACAAAACAAAAAAACCACAATTTTACCTTTAGGGATCTGGCATACCCATTCAAGTTGTACATCACAATGGAAAGGTTTTAAGTAGAAATCCTCTTCTCTATCTTCAAATAGGTACATATGATACAGCGGCCGACGTCTTCGTCCGAGGGTCTGTATAATTACAAAAAAAAGCAATGATAATATGCATTTCTTTTTGTAGTAACTCTGAAGTAAGTAAGTGTCCATAACTAAATTCTGTTAAAAAGATTTCCTTCCCTATTAGCTCATTTAATCATTAGAAATAAATCTCTGTGTTCAGTAGAATTTTCTTTTAAATGTACAAGGGATTCTAGCTACAGGCTAAAAAAATAGCAATACCAATTAAACTTATATGCAGCTTCACAGTGCTTTATAGCAGTTTACAGAGTCAGCATATTGCCCCCAATAATCTGGGTCTTTATTTACTGACCTCGGAAGGATGGAAGGCTGAGCCAACTTTGAACTGGTAGTGGGCAGAGTTAACCTGCAATACTGCATTCTAACTACTGCACCACCATCACAACAAATACTGTTGTTACAGAAATATTCTGTTTAATACTGGTAATTGCTTGATGAGGAAAATCACATTTTGAAAGATATTATTTTCAGCTGGTAATCAACAAAAAGGAAATATTCCAGGCATATATCTGGATTTCCAATATGTAAAAGCAGGATACAGATGAATGGTAAATGCAGAAGTAGAAAAGAATCAAGTAAGATAAGGGCTAAATGTTCTTTCCCTTAGCTGAGAATAGTCCCATTAAATCCAGTGGGACTTACTTTTAACTAAATTAAACTACTGCCAATGCAATACTTACTCAGAACTGAAGTATGGAATTGCCATGCTATGCTTGTTATGTTTATAAGCAAATATATTTGAAATATTTGCCAAAAACTACACATGCCTACTTTAAAATAGTATTTCTTTTTCCAACTAATGAAAACAATCTATTGAAAGGATCACTGCTACTATACTTTTCAAGACAAATTATATTATGCACATTATTGCATTCCAATGCAATATTTACAAACATAACACAGTTGAAAAAGGCTGTTTTATTCTGAAGTTAGGACAGCAAACCTAACTAATCAGACAGATAGGAAGATGAATAAGATTCACATGCCAGGGCATTTGCAAGAAGGCTGCAAGCATTCAGGAGATTTTAGTTATGTCTATGTTCCTGCCAGAAATAAGATTATGGTGTTCTGAGGATGAGACAGTAAAGCCACAAAGGCAACCTTGGATTCATTTTGTTTAAAAATTCCAGAACTGTTTCTGGCTCCATTTGGAATGGATGTATTAATTTCCTCCATTCAAAATCAAGGTGACTGTGTGAGAGAAAACAAGGAGGCCAAAATCACCACAGCAATGCAAGCTTGCCTCCTACATCTCTCCCCTAGGCTGTTCAAACAGGCAGGCTGTGGAAGCAGTACAGTATTCCCTCACACAGACACATTTTTTTTAGGACCGTACATTAAGACCTGATTTCCTGCTAAATGTGATGAAGCAATTTCATAGTAAAAAGAAAACGTAATAGAGTACAAGCTAAAAAAATCCCTTAGGGCAGTCTAACTGGCTAAATTGCAGGACTTATTGGCAAGCATGAGGTCAGCTGAGTTATTTTACAAAAAATAGCACAGATTCTTCCAGTATTTCCTTCTCTTTAGTGATCAAAAACGTCAAAATGTACCTTGACAGCTGCGCAATCTCGAAGATCATAGTCATCTTCTCTAAATTCCAGAGGCATAACAACAGAAGAGACCTATGGAGGAACAATGGTTTTAAAGCTGTATGCTATTAATTTTAATTAGTATGTTTTAGTAACAATAGCCGCAATATCCCAATACTGCAGGGACAGGAATATTGAGAAAAATAAAAAGAGTACTTTCAATATTCATTAATAGATATATGTTTTTAGTAAATTGAACCAGATTATCCTCTGAACTTTCATGACAAAGCCTTTGTTAAAGGTCACATTATGAGTATGTAAAAGTCACATCATAATCCAGAACTGTATATTCATTATATGAAAGCCTGAATCCTATATAGGTATTTCTCCTTCCTTCCTTCCCTTCCCTTCCTTTCCCCCCCTCCCTAGGAAATGACCACAGAAGTGTCCCTAAATGAGGACTTCCATGTGTGTAATTGTGTCTAAATAAAACAAATCCTCCACAAAGTAATTTTCATATAGAATAGTCTAATGACATAGGCTTTGGTTTACTGAACATTTTCATAACCAATTTAAGCTACTGTACATTATTTGAAGTTATTATTTAAAGCCTGTTTTACCTTTCCTGTGCAAAATGTTCTTTAAAAGCTTTTCAACTTCAGAATTTCACCAATATTCTTCCAGCTACAATTGGATCATTTAGTATTCTAGGTATGGTCAGCTTAACTTACCGGCTTATTGTCACTCCATTGCCATGAATCCAGAAGATCAGGATTCCTCTTATTTAGCCCAATCCAGACCCATCTGTCATCACTGTAAATAAAAAAGTAAACATGCAAAGGAATGTTCAACTTAATTGTTTTATTACTTGTGAGTATTTGGTGACCATTTTCATCTTTTAAGACAATTGCTCTGTGAGATGCTAAAATCTGAAAGCATGTGGATAATTATTTTGCCAATCTGCTGGTTCAAGCACCGCATATACTTTTCTTTATAAATTTTCCCCTGAGAATCTGCACATATAAAGCCTATATAAACACATAACTGATTATAAGTTAAAAAACAAAGAAAGAAGAAATGGGGGCTTGGCTTCCATGGTCTGGAATTTGGACACAGAAATCACCAAGGAAAAAAAAGTCAAAGACAGAAGCTGAGTGGCATTATGTAGTGGAAGGCAAAGCACTTAGGGGGATATAAATGCCAGTCAATAAATAAATTCTGTACTATATATACTTGCAAATAAATCCATCTGTAGATAAACCAACCCTGGATTTTTTGAGCAAAATACCATAAAAAATGTGCTATCTGCTGATAGACAACCTGTATTTTTTCATATATTTTTAAACATTTTGTGGGTCTATTTATTCACCGATGGGCTTATCCAGGAGAATATATGGGAATTAGTACTTTAAAAACGTATTATGTATATACTCGCGGATAAGCCCATCTGCAGAAAAGCCAAGCCTGGTTTTTGTCATGTATTTTGACACCTACAATTTTTGGCTTACCCGAAGTATATACAGTAAATAAAAAATACAGTAACTCAGCAGGTCCTTTGGCAGTCACAAATCTTTTGTTTAGCAAATTGGCTAATCATCTGCCCTTGAGTTGGTCTTAATAGAGACGAATGTCCTCTAACTTGTCTGACCTTGGTGAACAACCTGCAACTCTTCCAGGGACATTCCAGAAATATCTCTAGTTTTATCCATCAATGTTGTTTGCTGTCTTCCCTCTATGCCCCAAAGTCTATTAGTTTCTGCCTGATCATCACTGTCTCTAACAGTATTTCTTCTAGAAACAATCTCAAATACAGACTCTCCTTAAGCTGGTCTTTGACTACATGAAATATTTCATGATATTTCATGACACATACTCCTCAGGGTAATCAGCATATAAAAGAGATGATATATAAATATTGGAAAGATTCAACTCTGGAGAGTTCCTTTAATTGATCCTTGAAACAATTTTCTCCAGTTTATAACAGAAATCACATTGTAGTGTATTAAATTGTTGGGGGAAATTAAAACAGAGGATCTTCTCATTCACTGAGAGGAATTGCACAGAAACCATTTGCCTCTCTTACCTCAGCCTCAAGATGCCCCTAAGAGACTGGTTAAGACTGTTTGACTGTTCAAGTATTTTAAAAGCTATACTGCTACTTTATTACATCTGCTGCCATAAAATACATGAAGATACAGGTGAAACTCAAAAAATTAGGATATCGTGCAAAAGTCCATTTATTTCAGTAATGCAACGTAAAAGATGAAACCAATATATGAGATAGACTCATTACATGCAAAGCAAGATAGTTCAAGCCATGATTTGTCATAATTGTGATGATTATGGCTTACAGCTCATGAAAACCCCAAATCCACAATCTCAGAAAATTAGAATATTGTGAAAAGGTTCAATATTATAGCTCAAAGTGTCCCACTCTAATCAGCTAATGAAGGCGTAACACCTGCAAAGGGTTCCTGAGCCTTTAAATGGTCTCTCTGTCTGGTTCAGTAGGAATCACAATCATGGGAAAGACTGCTGACCTGACAGTTGTGCACAAAACCATCATTGACACCTTCCGTAAGAAGGGAAAGCCTCAAAAAGTAATTGCAAAAGAAGTTGGATATTCCCAAAGTGCTGTATCAAAGCACATTAATAGAAAGTTATATGGAAGGGGAAAGTGTGGAAGAAAAAGGTGCACAAGCAGCAGGGATGACCGCAGCCTGGAGAGGATTGTCAGGAAAAGGCCATTCAAAAGTTTCGGGGACTTTCACAAGGAGTGGACTGAGGCTGGAATCAGTGCATCAAGAGCCACCACACATAGACGGATCCTGGACATGGGCTTCAAATGTCGTATTCCTCTTGTCAAGCCGCTCCTGAATGACAAACGTCAGAAGCGTCTTACCTGGGCTAAAGAAAAACAGAACCGGTCTGTTGCTCAGTGGTCCAAAGTCCTCTTTTCTGATGGGAGCAACTTTTGCATCTCATTTGGACACCAAGGATCCAGAGTCTGGAGGAAGAATGGACAGGCACACACTGCAAGATGCTTAAGTCCAGTGTGAAGTTTCCACAGTCTGTATTGATTTGGGGAGCCATGTCATCTGCTGGTGTTGGTCCACTGTGCTTCATTAAGTCTAGAGTCAATGAAGCCATCTACCAGGAGATTTTGGAGCACTTCATGCTTCCTCCTGCAGACGAGCTTTATGGGGATACTGACTTCATTTTCCAGCAGGACTTGGCACCTGCCCACACTGCCAAAAGCGCCAAAACCTGGTTCAATGACCATGGGATTACTGTGCTTGATTGGCCAGCAAGCTCGCCTGACCTGAACCCCATAGAGAATCTATGGGGCATTGCCAAGAGAAAGATGAGAGACATGAGACCGAACAATGCAGAAGAGCTGAAGGCCACTATTGAAGCATCCTGGTCTTCCATAACACCTCAGCAGTGCCACAGGCTGATAGCTTCCATGCCACGCTGCATTGAGGCAGTAATGGCTGCAAAAGGGGCCCAAACCAAGTACTGAGTACATATGCATGCTTATACTTTTCAGAGGTCCGATACTGTTCTATGTACAATCCTTGTTTTATTGATTGCATGTAATATTCTAATTTTCTGAGATTGTGGATTTGGGGTTTTCATGAGCTGTAAACCATAATCATCACAATTATGACAAATCACGGCTTGAACTATGTTGCTTTGCATGTAATGAGTCTATCTCATATATTAGTTTCACCTTTTAAGTTGCATATGGACTTTTGCACGATATTCTAATTTTTTGAGTTTCACCTGTTTATTTAGACATCAGTTGAATTCACTAAAATGCTAGACTTTTGAGCACATCACCTGATGATCTCCCTCAGTATTGTATGGAGTTCCTTAATTTCTTCTGAGTTGCTGAAACTAGGAAGATGTCCTCCAAGAGCTTCACAGAATCTCTCAGCTTCTTCCCAAGTTCTGGTTCTCAGCACTCTTTCCTTATGAAAAAACTTTGTAAAAAAATAGGAAAAAAAGCCATGTTATCTCTGTACAATATTACTATTTCATTTTTTTTCTAGACATATATGCCTATTACTTTTAGAGATTAATGAACTTTCCAATCTAGTTATTACATTTCTGTTTTGCTTCACTTCAAATTTATCATTTCATTTCTTTGGTTGGTTATCAAGTCCCAAGACTGCCATTCCATTCATTTGAAGTTCTATATGAAGGAAATGATTTTTCATATATTTCTTTTTTCCAGGCAGCCTCTCTGATCTCTGAAGAATAAGGGATGTGAGAGAGAGCTTTAGAAAAAATGGGAAGTCCACAGAATTCCTCCAAATTATGCTAACAGAACCACTCAGAGCCTCTCAAAATAATTCAAGATTGAAGTTGCCAAAGGAATTCAACAAGAATCTGTATTAGGGCAAATTCACAATGTCTGACATAATAGATTTTGTTGCAGTATAAAGGGTAGCACTGAATGAAGCCCACCAGCACCTATTTTCCTTCGCTCAAAGATCCATAAACACAACATTGATTTGCTTGCAGAAATATTTCTAAAAAGCAAAGTATGTGTTCAAAAGTTGCATTCGGGGAAGCATTATTTTTTAAAAAGCTTATTTTCGTGACTTAGAAAATTTAAAAATACTTTTAAAATCTTGCTGTGGGAAAATATATGTAGCAAATAATAGTAATTTGTTTCAGTTTTTGTTTTTTAGAAAAGCATTTCTTGTGGAGTTAATATTAAAGCTTAGATAGTTTAGGTCAGGCGCATCAAACCCAAGGCCAGGGGTATGGATCCAGCCTGTGGGGTGCTTAGATCTGGCACGCAGGGATGCCCTGGAAATAGCAAAGGGCCGGCCTGCGGTGCCTCTGCCAGCAGCCCTTCTGAGCTCCGTTTTTTCTGGCAGAGGCTTGCAGGAGGCCGTCCCAGCTGAAAACAGAGTCCGGGAGCCTGTTTTTGCTGGCAGAGTGCTCCGGCCACCTGAAGTGCTGCCACAAGTTATGTCATGCTGGCTACGCCCACCCTGGCCACACCCACCCCAACTCCCTGATGTCAAACACAACGTTCAATGAAATCAAATTTGACACCCCTGGTTTAGGAGATCACAAAATTGATCCCATATCCAACATTTCTGCCCAACCAGTGAACATTCCATCTGAGACAGAGAGAGCATGAGAGGAGGGAATATATATATAATTTTGGTTAATATATGATGGGAGCTATGGTAGTCGAAGAGAGTACAAGAGTATGTTTTCTTAAGATCCAAGAGAATATAATTCAACAGAAAGGATATAATCATTTAGTAGACTTGATATAATACCTTGTAACAAGAAAGACCTGAACCCCTTGACCACCCTTGTGGGCAAGGGTCAGTGATTTTCGGCATTATCTCTGTTTCTCTCTTTGGTCCAATGTATTTCTTGCAAATAGAATAAGCTTTAAATGTTTGGCAATCCTTGACTTCCCACTTTCCAAGATATCTTCCATTTGACATTGCCACACATCCTCCATGGAATCCTAAAAAGTTGATGTTTCAATTATTTATGTGATATTTTAAGAAAACAGTCGCCCAAGGCTGTATTATGAAACAAGTATTAGCACTTCACTAAGTTCAATATTTTACCTGGTTGAAAGAAACCCCAATTTGTGTATGTTAGTAGTTCATTATTTCTATCCACACTTCCCCATCTATACTCTCCTGATGAGCTGATATCTTGCAAGCCAGTCCAGAAATATTTTTCTTCAAGTTTATTATGCATTGTGATTAAATTATTTATAAATTCTTGTTCAAATCTGTAAAGGTCAGAGATTCAATACAAAGAGCAATTATCATCAGATGTACAAAATGTATTTAGCTAGGATTAAAGAGAACATTTCTACAAGATATAGCACAATATTTAAAATTTAAGAAAGTTTACATTCAAAGGGTAACAGTGTACAATACCTGTTTGCTATAGTAAGATTGCACACACTTCCAAAAAAGACTTCATTCTTGTCAATCCTATAGCAATAATCTCCATGTTTCTTCCATTCCTAATTTAAAGGATGATAATCATTTATTCAAAAGTAAAGGCAACATGTGACATAAAGTTATCACATTAATTGTAAGATAGGAATGGCGAGTTAATGGAAGCAGTCCATCTGCTTCTGCCCTCTTATTTTTCACAAACAAGCCCGCGTCAAGGCTTGTGCAAGTTGGGCGCGAGCGCTTTTGATGACATTTGCGTGAGTGGATCTACAAGTGCCCATGACAAGGCTTTTGCAAGTGGGACTATGAGTGCCCACAACAAGGTTCACGTGAGGGGGGCCATAAGCACCCATGACAACACTCTTTGCCTGCACAGAGGCCACGCACCGGCCGGCCCTTCATGTGGCCCAGTGACGATTAGCCCACAGCCTAGTAGGGGGGCATGAATCACAGGTTGGGAATCCCTACTGTAAAGTGGTATATAAGTCTAAGTGTTATTCTTTTTGACAGGAAATAATTAAGAAATGTATCAAAATATTTATGTCAAATTATGGACAGAAATTAAAAGAAATCTTGAAAGGTGGAAAACAAAGCTTTCTTGGTTGTACAAGAATGGCAAAAAAGTGTAAGTAAATTTTTATGGAGCAGAAAGATCCTGGAGTTTAATTTAATTGACCAGACTGAACAAATAAAGATGAGGATGCAAAACTAAAGAAATAATCACAACACAGAAATGAGAAGAATTATGGAATAAATCTATAAAATTTACTTCCAAGTTATAACTTCTTATAGAACTTGAAGCAGCAAGAATGTTGAATATATGAAGTATATTTAATTAAAGTTCATCTTTCATTTAGAACATAATTTTTTGTTCTTTACCTTACTTGGGGAACAAGCTTTATCAGATTTTCGTTCCTCTAAAACTTTTCCTTTTTTCATACACACAAACTTAAGCTTATTGTTACAAGGTAGGATGTTCCATAGGCCAAACTACAAAGAAAAGGAAACTGATAATTTTAGCACTCTCAAAGACATAATCATCCAAATGAATTGTTTTTCAATTGTTCATGTACTTTTGCACTTACAAAAATACATAGAAAAAACTATTTCCCTACTAAAATTCTTGAAATATAACTCTGATATAATTCTCATAGAATTTTTAAAATAAGATAGCATAAAAGAGCCTCGGTGGCGCAGTGGTTAGAGTGCAGTACTGCAAACTACTTCTGCTGACAGCCAACTTCCTGCAATTTGGCAGATCAAATTCCACCAGGCTCAAGGTTGACTCAGCCTTCCATCCTTCTGAGGTGGGTAAAATGAGGACCTAGATTGTTGGGGGCAACAATAAACCACTGTAAACCACTGTAAACCACTTAGAGAAGGCACTATAAAGCACTATAAAGCAGTATATAAGTCTAAGTGCTATTGCTATTAATGTATAATTAATTATTAATTATTTCTTCTGTTACTCCTGTGAACAAGTTATAGAAAATCTCACCTCTTTTTCTGGACTGCACCAAATTTAAATTTGCAATAATGAATGTTAAGTTCTATTGAAATGAGAGGGGCTTGATTCTGAGTACACATGGCTAAGATGGCTAAACAGGAAAAAAAAACCTGCAGCTTTTAAACACTTTTTATTCAGTCTCATAAAAGATCTTTGCATTTGAAATTTCTTTCAAAGAAGTAAATCATTTTGGTCAAATTCCAGTAAGTGGAGAGTTGCATCATCGCACTCGATTACACATAACCAAAAGATTATGTGAATGACCTCGCAGTCATCTTTCAGAACTCTGCAGCCTCCCTGTTTAATGAATTAATTAATTTTATTTAGTTTTTCAGTGCAAAAGAAATATCAAAGAAATCTTTGATAAAATGAGTCATATACTTTGCCTTTTATGACGTTTACAAAACACTTTAGAGTCAAGTAATCATAAAACATGCCAAGAGATCCTTACCTTTCCAGAATAGGAGACACAGTTCGGAAGGCTTTTGAAGGAAACCCTTGGCTCATTCTGATCCCAGTATGTAAATATTACTTTGGAATCATCTGACCACTTAAAAAAGGCTGGAATCTCTTTATTAATTAATCCTATCCATATTTTGTCTTTTGTATCTACAATTAAAGCAGAAATTCAAGCAGTTCAAAAAATTTTGAGGGAAAAGTATTTAGGCACGGACAACCAGATCCACATGTATAGAGTTCAATTAGCTGCTTTGTTGTTTGTGCTTATTTCATAGGAATCTTCCCAGACTGACAATCTGCACCTGGACCAGATTAGGAAAGATTCAACACATAGGTAAGCATAAGGGGACAGACCTTGCCCTCTTATGCCTACCTATGGATTCCAAACTAATTCCCTGCTTGACTCCTCCCTCTGAATCAACCTCTCTGATAAAATAGAAACCATCTAATAAAAAATAGAACTTTTTCTATGGTCACTTCTCATTCATGTCATCATAATAATGGAATTAAAGAGGTTTGGCTAGCAGACAGATTTTTACCCAGAGTAATAGCATATACTGTTTTTGTTTTGTTGCTGTATTTGTCACACTGAATAGAATTCTTTATTGACCAAGTGTGATTGGACACACAAGGAATTTTGTCTTGGTGCAAATGCTTTCAGTGTACATAAAAGAAAAGATACATTCGTCAAGAGTCAAGAATCATCAGGTACAACACTTAATAATAATTATAGGGTACAATAAATACAAATAATCCTCACTTAACAACTGCCCTATTAGCAATTGTTCAAAGTTATGATTGCTCTGAAAACTTTGGTTCTTCACACTTGCATCCTTTGCAGTATCACTGCAATCACATAATACCGATTTGATTCACAGCTGGCTTCTGACAAGCGGAGTCAATTGAGAAGCCAGCCATAAAATTGCAAGTCAAAGTCATGTGACGACTGTGATTGATTTGCTTAATGACTGTGGTGGAAGTGAGACTCTAAGTCTATTGTGGTCATGGAACGTCTTGCTTAACAGCCATGTTGCTGGTTCCAATCATGGTCATTAAGCAACAACTATCTGTAAGTTAAGGAACATGTGGTTATAGATTTAGTAATACCAGAGATTTAGATTAAACTTTAATCAAATACTTTTTATTGTACATTCCAACCTCAAATTGAGAGTACTGTTTAAACAGAAAAACAGGAGCAACTCCTATCCATGTTTATTCCAACTTACCATTATGGAGTTTTGTAATGACTAATTCAACATCTGCTAAGGAATGTATACTGATCAGGCTACTATTGAGTTCATTGCATAACTGATAGGAATCATTCCACGAAGCAATGTTGTTCTTTAGCATGTAGCAAAATCCATTGTTCGCATACCAGCCAGATTCACACTGAGTCTCAACATTGTTCTGAATATCTAAAAAAAAAACCACACCAAAAGAACTTGAAAATAATTTGCTAAAAAATACAATAATTTTTAAAAGCAATGATACAGAACTGATACCATAGGAAAGGATCATAGCTCAGAGGGAACAAACTTTGGATGCAATAGATTTACAGTTCAAATTTTGGCATCTCTGATTTAAAAAAAAAAAGCAATCTGAGTTGTTGTCACAGTACACAATACTGAATCAGATGGACAAAAAGGCTCAGCTGGTAGAAGACAAAGTTAGCCTGCATGAATTGTCCCCCTTACAGCATTTGCTTTCAAGATATTTTTTTTAAAAAATGATGCATAACAAATCCCATTAATGCCAAAATAGGTTTTATATTCTTGGTAACTTCTGCAACTGCCCCTACTCACGTTCAAGTCAGAAAAGAGACTGCAGGACCATATTTACATAGAGAACAAGTTTTATCCTTAAAATAAAATTTTCTGAGATCTTTTTGAATGGAAATTATAAAAATGCCCTGAAACCTTCTAAGTGTAATTAAAGAAAATTATTATTTTTCTGCAAAACTTTATTTTGCTACCTGAAAAAGAATTCAGTCCAAATTCTACTACACATTATTCTCTATTATCATATATGCTTGTGTTTGAAATATAGAAATAGAAGAAGCTGGAAGGGACCCTGGAGGTCTTCTAGTCCAGTCCCCTGCTCAAGCAGGAGAACCTATACTATTTCAGATAAGTGACTGTCTAGAATCTTCTTTAAAACATCCAGTGATGGAGCGCCCATAATTTCTGGAAGCAAGCTGTTCCATTGGTTTATTGTCCTCACTATTAGGAAGTCTCTCCTTAATTCCAGGTTGCTTCTCTCTTTGATCAGTTTCCAAGCATTGTTTCTTGTCCTACCCTCTGGTGCTTTGGAGAATTATTTGACCCCCCTTTTCTTTGTGGCAATCCCTCAAATACTGGAATACTGCTATCGTGTCACCTCTAATTCTTCTTTTTTTTTTTAGACTAATCAAACCCAAATACTACAGCCATTCTTCGTATGTTTTAGTCTCCAGGCCTTTGATCATCTTAGTTGTTCTTCTCTGAACTTTTTCTAAAGTCTCAAAATCTTTTTTTGTAGTATGGTGACCAAAATTGGTTGCAGTATTCCAGGTGTGGTCTTACTAGGGTTTTATAAAGTGGCACTAATACTTCACGTGATCTTGATCCTATGCCTGTTTATACAACCCAGAATTGTATTAGCTTTTTTGGCTGCTGCTGCACACTGCTGGCTCATATTCAAGTGATCATCCACTAAGACTCCAAGGTCCCTGTCACAGTTACTGTTTTTGAGCCAAGTTTCGCCTAATCTGTACTTATGCCTTTGATTTTTTCCTGTTCATACAGCATATTTGTTTATTTATAAAATTTACAGGCAAGCCATCTTACCTCAAGGTAACTTTTGGTGGCTTTAAGTATTTAAGTAAAAAATTAATGGCTGAACCTATGCTGAACTTGTAGTTTTAAACTGAGGAAAAAAATATACAAAATTTACAAACATTCTGAACTAGCTGTTACGCTTCAGAGTATAGCGTGAATCATGATAAAGGTTTAATTTAGTAGTCACTTTAAGTATGTTGTATGAAAGTATTTGGAAAGTCTGGAATGATTCTGAAGTTGCTATATTTGCTGTTATGTAAAGATTTGGCATTTTAGCTGCAAAAACCAGAACCAAATTAAATTCACAACACATTTCAGACTCACCTGGGAAATCCAGTTGACTGTCATTAACTTGTTTCTTGCAGACATAAGGAAGTGGAGTGTCACAGGGATAACTCTTCCAATCACCTGTGTCAGCATTCATAGCTGCACAATCATTTCCCTCTAATGGAGATACATCCTGCATTTCTACAGAAGAGTAATGATTCGACTATTAGGCTAATGATACATCGTATCATGGATTAGAATAGGTATTGGAGTGCAAAGGATGAGATTAAAATCATAGAACTGGTATTCTTTTTATTAAAAAAAAATCAACCCAGTCAATTCTATTGTTGATTTTACACTACATTCTAGACCAGGGGCATGTTCAGAACTGGGCTGTAGAAACGATGGGCGAGCATGCATGTGCAGCTCTACGTATGTGTGCAGCGGATGGGCGAGAGCACGTGTGCAGATCAATTTGTGCAAGAGGTGGGTGCCTGCCGCTTGTGCAAATAGAATTGGGTGTTTTCCCTCCCACCACTCGCGTGGAACCATCTCCTCTTCCCTCACTTCTTTTTTTAAGGAATAATTCATAGCACCTGAGCCACAGAACACCAAGGAGGACAGGTTTCCCCTGGAGTCAAGAAACGTAAGTTTCATTCTGAAAAAGAAGATGTATGCCATGGTGGTGGGTGAGTCTCTGCAGAGAGGAACTGAGATGGCTGTGTGTAGAGCTGATATGACATACTTTATGGGAAGTAGGTTCTCCTCCAGTGCCTATATTCACTGTCTGCCTACTCTGGTTTCAGTATTCCAAATCATGGTTTGATTTGCCAATGCAAACTAAACAAAAAAAAAAAAGAATCAAGAGCAACCCTGGCCCCAGAAAACATAGTTACTTGTTACATCCCAAATCTAACGGTAGAAGCCTGTTGCTTATTTGTTTGCTATGAGTTACATAATAGCACTTGGACTTAGATACTGCTTCATAGTGCTTTTACAGCCCTAGGCAGTTCACAGAGTAGCATATTGCCCCCAACCACCTGGGCCCTCATTTTACTGATCTCGGAAGGTTGGAAGGTTGAGTCAACCTTGAGCTGGTGGGAATTGAACTGATGGCAGTGAGCAGCGAGTTAGCCTGCAATTCTGCATTCTAACCAGTGTACCACCATGGCTCATGGTAACCTCTTATTCCAAGTGGGAGGAATCAAATAATGAGGTTACTGGAGTACAGAACATTAAATGGCTTTATATATACATGATGGTGGGAAGGGATAAAAAAACACTAGATGGACAGATATGAAAGATAAACATCTAGATAAACAGAGGCCCAATGTCTATGCCAGGATATCCAAGTTCTACACCCAAGGACAATGTGAACTAAAGATACGAGTGAGAAGTTTTGCTATCACTTATTTCTTCTTCTGTATCAGCTTCATCTTTTTCTGCAACTTCTTGTTACAGTTCTCTTTCCTGTTTTGAAGTCCATCAAGTGTGAATTAACAGAGAAGACAGCACAAGAGGAAAAAAGCAATTACCTGAATTCCAGCTCACGAAGTTCAATGGATTATGATCTGACCAATGCCAGCCTCCAGAAACGTCCAACTGATTTAATCCAATCCAAAATATTTCTGCAATACCATCTTTAGCTAGAGAGATGATAATAGAACAGAACATTTTCAAGCTAATCAGTTCATAGTTGGGATTTACCTACTACAGTAAAACCAAACCAAACAAATCTTTTTGTGTCTGAGCTCATCGGCAGTATTTTGGTACTCAACTGCATATATTTTCATTGTCTTGTGTATGGTATGTAGAATGTGTTTGCACAAACATGTGAATGTATTGGTTTCTATGAAAAAAACAAGTGATAAAAAATGCCATTCTTTTTTTTAATATCTCCATACTGTTTTGAATGTAAAACTAAGATAAAATACAGCTCATTTGTTTTTGGCTTAGAATGGATGCCTAAAATTTCAAGTAACTTGCTTAACAAACTAATGCTAACATAATCCTGGTTTAATGTTATATGGCATGCAACCAATGTTAATTTTAATTTTATTTAAATATAATCAGTACCATGTACTTCTCCAGTGTGGTCTGAGTGGGGATTAACAGCCAGTGGAAATAACAGAACTATAATGGTTCAGATACTACATCTTGAAGACTTATTTTAAATGACATTTATTTCTTAGGTTGTATTATTTTTTCAGAGAAAGAAAAGGGAAAGATCAAGGAATTAGAAGCTACAGATTATGAAGAGGAAATTTTGCAGAGACCAGGGAGAAGGGAGATATAATAATATTCTTCAAATACCTCCAAGGCTATTATACAGTACAAGGTTATGATCTGCTGTTTACCATTCCAGAGTGCAGAACATGGTATAATGGATTTAAGTTACAAGAAGACACATTCTAGAGGAATGTTAAGAAAAAAAATCTAATTATGGAAGCAGTTTAGTGGAGATATGATGGGCTTTGCTTCAGCAAATAGGTTCAAGCAGGGGTTGGACAGCCATTTGTCTAGAATGCTTTAATTATGATTCATGGACTGACCACAGCTGGACTCAAATCTTAAATGGCCTCTTCCAACTCTGCATTTTGTAGATTTAATACCTACTCAACCTTTGCACTGCTGTTATTCTTCGCAAATTGTAGCTTACCTAAATATCCTTTCTAGATAATGAAATATGTGGGGTGGGGCAAGAAATGGTTCAACATGCTGCTTTTAAATGTGTATTAAATGTGTGCCTGTTTACTCTCTTGCAATCCCTTCCTCTTCCATCTGCCTTCTCTGCAAGGGAGGGGGGAAGAAAAAAAACAGGTCAGGCACAGGACAATGCATACTGACTAATGGTGATTATGTGGCTTAGGGACACTGCAAAGGTCATAAATGCAGAGAGTGGTCATAAAGTTTTTTTCAGTATTGTTGTAATTTTGAATGGTTGCTGAATTAGGCAGTCCATTAACAAGCCTACCTGCATTAGTATTATTTTGATTGCATACTGCCTGCCTTCCAATGACTAGGCTTATTGTTAATATTATGAATTCAGCTAAATGTTTTTAAAATCATCACTCAAATATCAAATTTGGAAACTAAGAAAAATATTCTGTCCTGCAAGCCATGAAATCTGGTAGCCTGATTCAATCTTGAAATCAATCCACTTATTTTTCATTTGGTTTCCTCTAGAAGTCAGTATAAAGTTGTAGATAAATAATTTACTGACCATATCAAAATATAAAATGAAAATAAAATACAGGAAATAATTCCAGGGTAAAATAGATAAAGGAGAAATACAGTAATGAAATACAGATAACAGATAATCAAAGTTGGCATATGTGGTAAGTAGAATGAAACAACATTCAGATAAATATATCATTTTTACATGATATACCCCCCATCTGTTCAATGTAACAGGTTCTAATTGCCTTGAAAATAAACTTAGCATAGCCTATAAACTGTTCTGCTCATAATATATATATTAGAGCCCAGGAGGGAAATAGGGCAACCAGCGATTCAGGTTGTAGTGGGTTTTTCTTTCAAGTGGGATATTAAATATCTAAGCCTAAGAGGGGCATAGAGTTGACACTGAATGATCAATATCTTTGATATCTGGGGCACCTTATATACATGTCCTCTTGTGATATGGCAAGTGGCAGAAGCCATTCTTGGCCATGGAATGCAACAACTCAAAAGTTACTCTAGAACAGGCTTCTTGAAAATTGGGTCAAACTCCCTTGATGAATATTTTTCAAACTGAAAAATAGTTTTGTTTTTAGCCAACCAACTTAAACATCTATTTGCTGCCAGCAATTCTGTATCAGTTTGAGCGCTGATATCTAGGACTTCCTGTTAAAAAATTTCCCTTACCTAGGAGACAGTTGAGAGTAAATACTGGGTAGAAAACCCAGCTGTGAAATAATTTTGGTAAATCGGCTTGTACAGGAAATGGACTGAACCATACTTATCTATTTTGCCAAACATATTTTGGATAGCCTATCAGGGTCCACACTGAATGGATCCTTAGTCAATATGTGATAACTTTAATTATTAATAGGCTACATATGGAGTCTACACCTATTTCTGTTCTGACTGCAGGAGCTGACACCTTATCAGTTCCCAGTATACTTCTTTTAAAATGTGTCTGAACTTGTTCAAGTGAAATAGCTTTTGTAAGGTCCCACAAGTCAGCTTTGGGACCATTTTTGTTCTGAATAAGTAAGGTTGAAGAACTTTGGGGGTGTTGCAGTGGCCACAACTTTGAAATGGATCACAAGTAATATTTTTTTTTGGGGGGGGGGGGGGGAGAGGAGGGTCTGTTGTAACTTCAAGTGGCTGCTAAGTGATCAGTTGTTAAGTAAGAAGTACCTCTAACTCAGTCCAAGGCCACCCTTGGTTAGTAGCTCACCAAGATTTGGACTGCATCTTACTTCCTCTTGTCTGTCAACCTCTATTTTATTTCTGTCACTTATATTTTCTGTATGGTATGATGTTTTATGGGGAGGAAGAGGGAGTAAGGAAGAAACACCCACAAGGACTCTTTGTTCTCTTCCACATCCATATCCCATGTTGAAATAGGGCATGAAGCAGCAGTTTCTCAAAATAGTTATTATTTTCATGGGCACTTGAGGTGATCAGTTCTTCTGGAGGTTTAACAGCTTTGCAGTGTTGCTAATTCCCTCAAATCACCAAGGTCTTTTTACAATACCCATATGATCAGTATTTGACAGAGTATTGAAAGAGTTAATCAAATTTATCTCTAAGGCTTCTTCAGAAAACTGACTTGATATGAGAGGCACGGATTATACAGATTATTTATTCAGACTCTCTCTTCTCAAGGACTGTGATAAAATGACCTCAGAGTTACCAACTTTTATGCTATAATTAAACTTTAAAGTAGAAGCTCTCTTATTGCTGAGTTATTTAATGGGCTAACTCCCTCAGTGTGAAGCACATATAATGGGAAGATCTCAAATCTGCTTTAAAAAAAAGTTTTATTTTGAGCAACATGCTGGCAACAGTGGGGTGTCTGAATGAAAGCATTCAATATAGACTCTCGTGGATAGGAGCCATTCAACTTTTGCAAATCAACCAACTGCTTTTCACAATGTAGAAGCTGACTGCACGGTCCTCTGGATATAGACTTAGATCTCTTAGCTTACTCCTCACTCTCCTTTTAGGTTCCAAATTAGGATCCACCTTTCTGGCACTATTATCTGCTTTTAAGTGGCAATTGTCTCTGCATGAGCCTTTTTTAACTGAATCAGCAACATCTATCTTGAAATCAATCCACTTACTTCTCATTAGCCACTGACAGCTTTCCTCTCGAATGCAATATAAAGTTGTACTTACCTCTGATATAATTTAACTCCGATGCACTTGTGATGCTGACCAAATCACTCCCTTGCTTCTTACATGAGAGGTATGCTGCTTTCCAAGAAAGGGCAGCCTGTGTGTTTAACTGATAACAATTTCCAGAATCTTTAAACTGTTCCCATGTATTCTGACAGCCATCCTCTGTTGAAGACAAGTATTCATATCTGAGATCTACAGGTACCATAACCATAATCTAGAACTCGTGAACATGTTGCCTTATCAACTTAATCTAAACATGAGAATACACACACACACACACACACACACACATATCTTCATCTCCAATACTGGCATTCAATTTACATTCTCTGTATCATCCAGACTGGGATCTAGATATAGTCTTCCAACCCCCGTTTCTCCTTGTTCTGTCTGCAACATGTTTGTAGGACACATGAGAAAAACCAGGATCCACTAAAACTGTTGAGGACCAATATTCACAAGGAAGAAGCGTAGATCAATTAGGTTATAGGTTTCAGATGAAACTACATTTTTGAACATGTTTTTATAACACAAACTGGAGCCTCAGGCAAAAAATTTTAATACTTTAATTTATATAATGATGATTGCTTATAACAATACTGTGTAATCAATAGAAAGCTATTATGTGAAGCTCTGTTCATCCTTTTTCTCAAGAAATACCAAAATATATAGTATGCATTAATACAACATTAATTTTTTAGGATACTATTTTAGGAAAGCTACTTGCCTCTTTTTAAGCAGAAGCCCCATTGTTCATCTTGATTGAAGTAAGTGGTTATGGAACACCATTTACCTCCTGGATATTTGTAAATGCAATCATGATACCATGTATTATTATGTAGGAAAGGAAATTCACAAGGTTTTCCATAGGCATTCCCATCCCTGGTATAACTTTCTGCATAAAAGAAATCAAAAACAGATTTAACATTTAAAAAAGCCTGGAAATGAGTGTATTTGTTGTAAAATAAAATAAAATAAACATTTTTTTTAAATGTTATTTTAAGACATGTATGACTGTAGGAAGAATCATGTATGCACAGATCTTAAGATACATTAGGTAGAGCCAACAATACATGGAGCCAGAGGTCTTCAATAGTTAAAAAAAAAAAAACTAGTACCAAAATCAGAAGGTAATGATCTGACCCTATGCAACTTCAGGAACAATACAAATGGCCAAAGAAGGAATGAGTCTTCAGCAAAAAGTAGTGGGACATGCTTCAGCATGTCTGTATCTTCTTTTCTATATCTTCTTTGCTCAAAGTAATATTCAAAGTAATATAAGTAATAAGTAAAAACATGTAGCCACATTTGTTATCCATGCAGAAAATGAAAAAAAAATCTTTCCAAGGAAAAAAATGATTTTAAAATCATTGCACTGGGGAGAGCAACCTGAGTCTCTTCAGATGCTAGTAAACTACAGTTTCCAGCAGCTGGAGCTAATTCAGCTACATCTTAATTGATTTGTGTATTATGTTCTTTCTTGTGTTCACTGCCTAGAGTTCCACTGACAGCTGGACAACTGTATAAATCTGAACACTAGATAATAGATAACTTCCGGAGTACTGGATAGCTAGGTAACACTATCACTAGATAGCCAGATAAACTTTGGAGGATCTTAAGTTTCCTTTAAGTTTCAGCTTTTAGGGTTGACATGAAACAACCAGGTTGGCTAATGAAATGATATCATAATTTTCAGCAAAATAACTTTCAATGGATGCAGTCAAAATAAAATGGGCGTTGGTTCTTACCTGATACGCCCCTTCTCGGCGAGCCGCAAGGAGCATCCAGAGACTGGGATGTGCTTCCGAGTCCTCTTCTTGCAGGCTGAGCTTTAGATGAGGAAACGCTCCGCCCCCTCACGTGACATCGCGGAGCGCCTCCCCAGTTTTTGCGATAGCGAGAAGAGAGGTTATTGATTCTTTCTAATCTACTATTGGCTCCTTGGCTGAAGAAAAAGCCCCCCCCAGACGGAGAAATTAGGGTGGGGCTGGATGCTCCTTGCGGCTCGCCGAGAAGGGGCGTATCAGGTAAGAACCAACGCCCATTCTCCCTCGAGCCGCTCGGAGCATCCAGAGACTGGGACATACCAAAGCTGGGCTGTCCTACGGGTGGGACTCCGTCTGGCCCGAAGGCCCCTCCGGATCACTGATGACCCTCTGTAAGACCCGTCGGCCAAAAGAGGCCTCCGCTGAGGCGTACGTATCTATTTTATAATGTCTGATAAACGGGGACGGAGAGGACCAGGTGGCTGCCCGACAAATGTCAGCGATGGGGGCTTGTGTGGCCCAGGCCGCCGAGGTGGCTGCACTTCTGGTGGAATGGGCGGTTATCCCACCCGGAGCGGGCAGAGAATGGGAAAGGTACCACCTCGCAATAGTAGCCCTGATCCAGCGACTGATGGTGGAAGGGGAAACCTTAAGCCCCATTGACCTGGGTTGAAAGGATAGGAAGAGGGATTCCGACCTTCGCATGGATTGAGTGCGCTTAATATAAATACGCAAGGCCCTTCTAACATCTAGGGTGTGCCAGAGGACCTCCCTGCCCCTGGAGGGCCTGGGGCAGAAATTTGGTAAAATCAGTTCCTGTGACCTATGGAAGGGAGAGTTAACTTTGGGTAGAAAGGTAGGGTCGGGACGAAGGACCACCCGGTCTGCGTGGAACACGCATAGATCGCTCCTGACTGACAGAGCTGCTAATTCCGAAACTCGACGAGCAGAAGTAATAGCTACTAGAAAAACTACCTTGAAGGTGAGAAACTGCAGGGATGACTCCCTCAAAGGCTCGAACGGGGGACGTGTAAGAGAAACGAGGACCTTGTTGAGGTCCCATGTGGGGAACCTGTGAACTGTAGGAGGGCACAGGTTGGTGGCGCCCCTAAGGAAAGATCTAACCCTGGGGTGGTGAGAAAGGGAACCGTAGTTATCACAGGAGACCACGGTTGAGAGAGCAGAAACTTGCCGTCTCAGGGTGTTAGGTGCGAGCCCCTTGCGAAGACCCTCCTGAAGAAATTCCAGGATCTGTGCCACCGAGGGAGAGAGGGGATTAACCTGAGACCCGCTACACCACTTGCAGAACCCTTTCCAAGTGGCATCATAAATTCGTGTGGTGGAAGGGCGCCTGGCGGCCAAAATAGTGTCGATGACTTGAGTTGAAAGATTCTCAGAAGTCAGACGGATCCGCTCAACCTCCAGACGGCTAACTGGAGCCATTGAGGCTCCGGATGCAGAAGGGGCCCCTGAGAGAGGGAGACCTTGTCCGGGGGGATCCTCCATGGGGGCGCTACTGATAAGATGCGGAGATCCGCAAACCACGGTCGCCTGGGCCAATAGGGAGCCACCAGGAGAAGTTCTGCCCTCTCCTGAATGAGTTTTTGAACTACTCTGGGAACTAACGGGAGCGGAGGGAAGGCATATAGGAGCCCTGGGGGCCATGGGCAACGCAGAGCGTTGTGATTCTCCGACCTGTGAGACGGATACCGGGAGAAGAACCGTGGAAGCTGAGTGTTGGTCGGGGAAGCGAAGAGGTCCACCACCGGAAGGCCGAATATTCTGGACGCTTCCTCGAAAAGGGATGGATGGAGACGCCATTCCGCCTGGTCCACCGTGGCCCTGCTCAGCCAGTCCGCCTGAGTATTGTCTACTCCGGAGATGTGTTCGGCTTTTAAAGATAGGAGGTTGGATTCTGCCCAGCGGCAAAGGCGCTCGGCTTCCCTCATTAGCTGGATGGACTGGGTGCCCCCTTGCTTGTTGATATGGGCCTTGGCCGTGACGTTGTCCGTGAGCACGAGAACGTGATGATTGCGGATCTGAGGAAAGCTGCGCAGGGCCAGAAGGACGGCGTGAAGCTCTAGCCAATTGATGCTGCACCCCTGCTCGGTCAGCGACCATTTGCCCTGTGCAGAGATCGAGTCGAGATGAGCGCCCCAACCGGATAGGCTTGCGTCCGTAGTGACGGTGAGTCGTTGAGGTTCCGCGAATAGGTGGCCTCTGTTGATGGCGGGATTGGTCCACCAGAGAAGAGACGTGAGGACCTTTGGAGGGACCCTGACCTTGACCCTCGAGTTGCTTCTTCCGGATCGTTGGAACGGGAGCAGGAACCATTGGAGGGATCTGCTGTGTAGACGAGCCCAGGGAATAATGGAGATGCATGATACCATTTTGCCCAACAATTTAGAGAGGTCCAACAAGGCCACCCTCCTTGAACGCCTGATCTGATTGACCAGGGCTTGAATGCTAAGGAACCTCTCCGGAGAGAGGAAAACTCTCTGTGACACCGAATCAATTATGGCCCCCAAGTGGTTAATTCGAGTAGAAGGGGTAAGTTGGCTCTTTTGCCAATTGACTAGAAAACCGTGTGCCCGTAAGGCGGAGAGGGTGACCCTGGTATCCCTGACTGCCTGGGATTTGGACGGGGAGAGAATAAGAATATCGTCCAAGTAGCAGTGGAGGCGGACGGGAACGGTCCTGAGATGGGCCGCCAGGGCCGCCAGGACCTTGGTGAAGGTCCGGGGGGCCGAAGCCAGACCGAAGGGTAGGGCCACGTATTGATAATGAAGGTTATTATGGCAGAACCTGAGGAATTTGTAATGGGAGGGCCTGATTGGAATGTGGAGGTATGCCTCCGACAGATCTATGGAAGATAACCAGTCTCCCCGCCTGGTGCCTAAGAGAATTGATTGCAAGGTGTGCATCTTGAATCTACGCTGGATGAGGTGACGGTTGAGCCGTTTCAAGTCTAGGATGGCTCTCCAACCCCCAGAGTGTTTGGGCACCACAAAGAGATGGGAGTAAAAACCCTTTCCCTTCTGGGCCGGAGGGACAGGTTGAATGGCCTGGATGTCAAGAAGATGATGGATGGCTGCATCCATTAGAGCCCGTTTGGAGGGATCCCTTGAGGAGGGGGATGGGATAAAACAATCAGGGGGGGCGGACCTGAACTCCAGGGCGAGACCAAACCTGATTGTGTCCCTAACCCATGCATCGGAGGTGGATATGTCCCATTGGGCGGCGAAATGGCTGAGGCGGCCGCCAATGGGGAGGGAGGAAGAGGATCTACCTTCTACGGTAGGGCCTTCCTCCCGATCCCCGGAATGGTCTCTTGTAGCCGCCACCGCGTCTGGTTCTGTCACCCGGGTCCGAGCGGTCCTGGGACCGGAAGGAAGGAGGTCTAGGGTATCTGGGCGGGAAGGGGGGTTGGTAGAAGGGGCGGGGGAAGCTCCTCCGAAAGGGCTGGGGGCCCCTGGTCTCCGATCTTCGAAAAAGGGAGGGCAAATACTTTCTCTTACTGCGGCCCTCGACCAGCAGTGGTTCCAAAGCTGGGCCAAACAGTTTGTCTCCCGTAATGGGAGCAGTGGCCAGCTTGACCTTATTCTTTACGTCCGCCTGCCAGTGTTTGAGCCATAGCATGCGGCGAGCCGAAACGTGCGACGTGATGGCTCTGGAAGAAAATTTTACCGACTGGTAAGTGGCGTCAGCCGAGAACTCGGCTGCAGCCACTAACTTCGCTATATCCTGGTGAGCTCTCAGATTGGAAGCAGGGATGTGGTCCTTGAGCTGACGTAGCCAGCGGATGGAAGACCTGGTGAAAAATGAGGCGGCCGTAGCCGATTTAATGGCCCAGGCGTCAGATAGGTGGGCCCTACGCAGCGCCAGCTCCGCCCGCCTGTCCTCAGGCTTTAAGGCCTCTAGGGCCTCACTAGGGGTAGAGGAAGAAGCTAGACCCACAATGGGGTCATCAACCTCCGGGATATTCAGAAGGTTAGACAGAGCCGCATCGAGATTGAAGAATCTCTTGTCTTGGCTAGATGGAGCAGGAGGTGTCCCTGAGGAGGTAAGTTGCTTAGCAACCAGATCTACGAAGATGGGAGGGGATGGGATGACCTCGGCTTCCACCACTGGTTGGGTGAAAATGGAGTCTTCTGGGCCCTCTTGGACTGGGGGGGGTTCAGCAGGGGACTGGGGAAGAAGGCCAGATACATTCTTGGCCTTAAGGAGGAGGGACTTGAACATATGTGGTTTGAACAGCCCCCCAAAGGTGGGTTGGTCGGGGGAAGGACCCTCGTCCTCCGACATCTCCCCCTCCATGATGTCAGCCTCTAAGAGGGGTTCACTATAGCGGGAGGATCCCATCCGGGAATCCTCTTCCTCCTCCCTGAAGTCCCCAAAGTCCCCTTCCTCCTCCATCTGGGCCCCAACCGGTGGAGGGCTATCCCTCTGAGAGAGTACCTGATCAGTTGGGGGGACCGGTTGTGGAAGGGATCTGAGTGATAACGAATCGTGTTCAGAGGCTCGCGGAGAGAAACCTGATCTGGACACGTGTTGTAGTGCCTCTGCTATGCCCTGGCGGATGGCTGATTCCATCCAAGCCTTGATGTGAGGTGGAACCTCGGAGGTAGAGGGTTCATCCTGGCGCAGACCAGCGGCTGTGGGTGTAAAGGTGGCTTCGGGGGTCCTTCTGGTCGGAGGTCCGGGGGTCGGAAGACCCTGAAGCGAACTGCGCCTAGGTAGGGAAGAAGGGTCTGAGGGGAGAGGTAGAGCAGAGGTAGAAGGGGTTGGAGGAGGAGGTATAGGCGTCTCCGAGCGGGACTCCCTTGAACGCCGGTCGAACTCTTTTTCTAACGCTTTGTGGCGCCTCAAGGCGTCACGTTGTGCGGCCTTGGAAGGTTCCTTGTCCTGTCTGGAGCCCTTAGGTTCCTTGTCCTGCCTGCGCAAGTAGTGGGACTTTGCTTTAGCCTTCAAAGAAGGACGTTTAGATGGATTGTCGTCTGCCATGATAGGTAACAATACTAGCAAAGGCGGTTGGCTCGCCCAGAATAGGCCTGAATGAGGCCGGGTGAAGGTGAAGCTGGCCCTCTCCCCCTTTTGGAATTTGTAGTGTACAGAGATAACAGTGAGGTATCTGAATAATATAGTATGTACAGGAAAAAATAGATACTCTATTTGTAATTCCTTTGATTTCTTTTTGTTTGTTCTTTTTATCTTATTCTCTTTTTTTTTTTTTTTGTACGCAATATATATGCAGGTTATCCGTAAATGTCTAAATATCTATGAAAAAAAATTATTACTGTACAAAAAAACAGAAATTATTATTATTTTGCAAATATATTCCCTTTATTCTCGAACAGTAGCAGTAACTGGTATCTCAGTACAGGCCGGATCAGTCAAATAAACGCCTGAGGCCTATGTAGAAGAGAGGGCCTCTGGCAGCAGGCCTCCAGACAAGTGAAAACAAAACCGGAGGGGGGGGGCTGCAACTTCGCCCCGAAACGGACTGCGGGAAGCCAACTAAGATAAAAGAGCGAGCCAGGTAGAAAGAAATGGGCAGCAAAGCTTTGACCCAAGACCTGGGGCTCTAAATCACCGCAGCTACAATCAGAAAAAAAGGCGCCCGACCACGAGGCGGAGCCAAAATGGCGACCGCGAGCTGAACCGTCGGGGACGCCTGCGGGACGGAAAGGAGGGCTTTGCCGGTCAGCTCGGCACGCCTAGGGCCTTAGAGGCAATAACCCTCCCGGTCGGCGTTTGGGGTGGGGGGGAATCCAGCAGTAAATGAAAGTAAAACAACGCGTGCCACGAGGCAACGCGGAGGCAGCGATGCGATCTGATAAGGACGGGGGGGGTAGCGCTAAACGCGCTGCGAGCCCGCAGCTTCGTCTCAGGGACGAGGGAAAATTTTCCCTTAAGTCCAGACCCTTTGCGCAGGAGGAGAAAGAAGGCAAACCTTATCAGAAAGAGAAATAGGAAGGAATCTGCGATCAGCCAAGGAGCTCTCTAACACACAGCCTGACTCTTCGAGGCTGAGCAAAAGACTGGGGAGGCGCTCCGCGATGTCACGTGAGGGGGCGGAGCGTTTCCTCATCTAAAGCTCAGCCTGCAAGAAGAGGACTCGGAAGCACATCCCAGTCTCTGGATGCTCCGAGCGGCTCGAGGGAGAACTGATGGTTTCAAGATTTGTTTGGCTATCATTGCTGGCTTTCTAACAGAAGAAGGGCATTATTCAGAATTATTAAATACAAAATATAGGAGATATATGACAATCCAAAATTATGTGTGGGGTAATTTTAATTGTCCTGATTCTTTTGCTATTACTGTTGTGAATATTGAGCAGATACAGGGCAAATTTTCTGACTCCAAGGGCTGCACATGATACTGATGAAAGCTGCCTTTGTTGGGTTGGAAAACAGGCGTCTCTTCATACCAGCCATGAAAGACTGTACAATCTTCTCATGTGAAGTGAAAGAACAAACCAAATCCCTGAGAAATTAAAGACTGTCCTGTGATAATCCGACCAGATTATTAACTTGGTTTTGTTAACAGCAAAGCCCAATCCACAAAGCCACGGCTAGATATACCGCAGCACATTTAATAAACAAAAATAAAATAAATTACTCCATTGCCCTGCTGAAGAAGAAATTGGGACTGGTTTTGAAAGCTCATAAAGGAACCAGGGAAAAACACTGAACTAAATAATTGTACTAACAGGACTTCAGCCACTGTAGATAAAAATAGCCTGAACTGGCTGAAGGTTAGGTTAGATCAGGAGAAATCTGGTGACTTTGTTGTTATAATTATAATTAATTTGTACAGCTGTTTAAATCTATTTAGATCTGTTAAACAGAAAGTAAAAAAACAAGTCAGTTCCTGCCCATGAGCTTATAATTTCATAAACTTTATAATAAAAGATCTACAGGGTGGGGTGGAAGAAAGGAAAAAGAGAAAAACAAATACGTTCATTCATAGTTATATAAACACAAATACGGCTAGAAACAACTGTGTGATACAGTGATACAGACTTCGTCAACCAAGTAGCTCCAGAGAACAAGGCAGAAATACAAAAGATGCCTTGAGGTAATTTCCATTTGTTTGTTTAGACATGCTCACTGTTTTCTACAGCGAGAAGATAGAGTGGTTTTGTACTCTAGAAACTAGTGGAGCTGCATGTTTTCTGTGCACTAACCATAGAAAAAGGATAGCTAAAAATAAGTTTGTAGGACTTCCCCAGAGTTCCTTCAACTTAAAAATAATTTTGTTGGCATTCAAATTAGAGAAAACAAGACCTCTAATTTCATTATGGTTAATCCCCCATTTCTTAAAAACGATTAAGTTCAAAACTTTCTTCTCTGCAAAGGTGAAAAAAGGAAGTTCAGAAACTTCCACTTCCACTTTGGATTAACCCTGGTCTCTTACATCACTATTTTACCCAGTTGGTAAAAAAAAAGAACCTCTACAATCCTGTTCTCCAGCCCAGTACACGCCTTTTTTCCAGGGGTGAAATTCAAAAATTTTCCCTACCGGTTCTGTGGGCGGGGCTTGGTAGGCCTCTGTCTCTAAAAGGAAGGAGGCAGGCGGACATGGGTGGGGCCAACCGATTCAAATCGTCCCTACCACCTCTCCGAACCAATTCAAATCATCCCTACCACCTCTTCCGAAGTGGTTTGAGGTGGTTGAATTTCACCCCTGCTTTTTCCCCCCCCTGAAGGAACATTGAGGCAGCAAACCTGGGAGTCTGATTTGGGGGAGGCTTTGGGAAACAGCTTAGTCAAAATAGATGTTTGTCAGGTTTTTAATTTATTTTTAGGGCTTGTTCTACATAATAAGGGGCAAAAATAAACCAACCCACCATTAAAAACCAGCACTTTACTTTTAGAAGTTAACTACATGAACTTGAAGGATCTTGAGAAGTAAATAAATTGGGCATGGAGCACTTGAACCTATGGATTATCTACTCTTATGCTAAAACATGATTTAATGTAACATCAGCAACCCACTACAGAGGAAATAAATTGTGTATTCTTTATAAATGCCAAATGTACAAAGATTTGAGTGCAAAGACCATTAGCAAAAGCAGTAACAATAATTGTCCTCCCCCCTCAAAAAATCCAGCATGTCTAATATTTCAAAATGTCTGATTTTTCCACATGATAGTTTCATCTGGAAATAATCTGTTTCATCCTGCAAAACAACAAGAACAACAACAACAATAATAATAATCTGAGCGCTTTTAAAAATCATGAGAATTCTGCATGTTTTGCAAAGGAGCATTAGTTATTTGCAATGCTTTTTTCCTTAATTTATTAGATTTTGTTTATCCCGCCTTCATTACTTCATTAATAATTCAAGGCATTGAACATGTCACATATTCCTTCCTCCTCCTATTCTCCCCACAACAACCTTGAGGTGGGTTGGGTCGAGGGAGGGTGATGGGCTCAAAGTCACCCAACTAGCCTTCATTCCTAAAGCGGAACTAAAACTCACAGCCTCCTGGTTTCTAGGTCAGCACCTTAATCACTACATTAATGGTCTTAGTGCTCCTCCAAATGCATTCCAAAATACATTCAGGCATCCTCCAAATTAACATTCTATTAGATACCCCAAGTATGGATTTCAACTTCCGAAATTCTAAACCAGTATAGTCCTAGCATAGCTGAGAATGCTGCCACCTATACCTGGAAACAATGTATGTTAGAATATGGACAGGAAGGTCTGAATTCCAGTTCATCATGTGAGAGTATTAATTAAGATTACTGGTGCTTAATCATCACTTGATGCAACACTCAACTGGGGATGCTCCCTTTCTTTTGAACTCCTTAGAACAGGAGTCTCTAACCTTGGCCACTTTAAGACTTGTGGACTTCAACTCAGCAAAGCTGGCTGAGGAACTCTGCGAGTTGAAGTCCACAAGTCTTAAAGCGGCCAAGAATGGAGACCCCTGCCTTAGAAGTCAGCATTTAGACATATTCTGCCTGAAACCCTTCTTTCCCTTTCTATAAATCAAAGAAAATACGTACCACTATATGGAAATTTACAAATCGTATCGCTGGAATTGCTTCTTCTCCAAGCATCAGAAGAGTTTAGGCTTGCGGTGAGGATTCCATTCTTTAATGCTAGTTTATTCTGAGATGTGGAGAGGATGGAATCACCAACACAGCGCCACCACAGATTGAGCTCCGAGTCACAAGCAAACATTTTTAAGGTACTTGTAGACTTTACAGTCTCTAGTCCAAGGCATTTTTGGGATCCCAAATTAAAAAGGCGATGTTGAGAGACCCAGGTCCATAAGCTCTCGTCTGTCTCCTCACAATTTCCTAATATTAGGTGCTGGCTTTTAACTTGGATGCACTTATTAGAATTTTCATGCCGGATGGTGAAAAGATTGTTATCTGCATGGAGAAAAGAATATATTTTAATGTTTTTTCTGTTCTAACTTTCAGTAGAAACAAAGATAATACTGAAAGATTATGTAGCAACACCGGAATGCACTGTCAACATTCAGTTCCATAACAGAACATCTTAATAATTATTGAAAATACCTTTATCTATTTATATACTTACAAACAGCATTCTCTCAGCAGCAACAACATTACGTAGTTTTTGAAAGATTAAAAAAGCAACATGATCTCAGAAGCAAATAAAGCAATATTTAAAGATAGACAACATCAATTTTAGTATTACTCAGTGTGCTCAATGTTTAGGAGGCCTGGAATAACAACAGCATTATCATCATTATTAACAAAAAAGAGATTATAAGAGAAGTGTTAGCATCTCTGTGAAAGGTGTTTCTTAAATGGGATAACACCTTTTCCCTTGCAAAAATTCAGATGATCAATAGATGGCAGTAAAGAGGTATCAAACGTTTTAGCTGTTTGCCCACTAGAGCAGGGGTCTCCAACCTTGGCAACTTTGAGACTTGTGGACTTCAACTCCCAGAATTCCTCAGCCAGCAAAGCTGTGTATTTGAAGGCTAAAACTGGTATAATATTGTGTACTATCTACCCAAACATCGGTTGAAAGGAGCATTCAGAGGAGGCCTGTAAATATGACAAGATTTTTCTAATAGCTTAGTGGAAAATTGTTTTCAAAACCAAAAAATGGAGTGGAAGCTAGTAGATGATAAAATAAAGGTAAACAGGTGGTCCTCATTTAACAACCCCTCATTCAATTGACTTTTCAAATTCATAATTTTGCTGAACAAGTAGTCACACACAATCTAGACAATCATCTTGCAATTATGACTTTGCAGTATCCTGTAGTCATGTGAACTCCATTTGTGACTTTCTTTGCTGGCTTCCAACAAGTGAAGGGGAAAGCCAGCAGGAGATCAAAAATGACAACCATGTGATGCCCTCAGTGATTCGCTTAACAATAGCATCTAGAAATCCTGGCCCAAACTGCTGTCATTATATGAAGACTACCTGTAATATGTTCAGCTATGTTCTGGAGTTCTTTGGAAGACTTTATCAGAAGAAGCTCCATGTATAAAATATATTGCATAATCCAAACAGAGCTCAGATAACTATGTTTAGTGCATCAAGTAAAATAAAGGGATTCAGAATCGGAGGCCCCTTGATGCTGTTAGATAAATACGACTCCCCAGTCGATTAAAGGATGTGTGCATTTGATTTTCTTCACAGTAAGGCAATGAAGAACTGGTGAACTTTTCTAGTTAATGCCCAATTTTCTAGTACAACCTTTTATTGTATTCCCAGTGTTGTTTAGATTAAACCACAGTTTATTAGCCTTTATCCAATCTTTATGGGTATAATCCTAAATATTTACAGTATAACCCATTAATTAGAAGCACGTTCCATTGAACCAACAGGTATTATTGCTATGTAAATGTATCCTCCATAGAAATATAAGATTTATTATACATCTGATGAAACTTAATTAATCAATATAATTTATTAAAGAAATAATGGAATAAAATTATCTGTAAAATGAATTAAATTTCTGGTTTGAAATGATGTTTTATCTTTATATATTTATGTGCTAACGTTTTATTTATTTTAAAATTAGAACATAATTTTAAAAATGAATTCTTTTTAGTTCATGAAAACCAGTAAGTTGTTAATTCTCTAAACCAGTTTTCTACAGCTTAAACCAATTAAAGCCTATTTGCTGGTATAGAAAGACCACTACGGTCTAGTTTGATTACTGAATCTCACATCAAAGTTCTGATGAGAAACAATTTTAGTTGCTATATGCATTTAACTTAGACTAAAATTATATTTTTGGTGGAGAAAATAACCTAAGATGGCACACTAAGACCACTGAATTGTGCAGAAATTGTACAATTGCAGTGCTGTGCTAAGATGCTGAGCTTGTTGATCAGAAAGGTTGTCAGTTCGGAGGTTCGAATCCCTAGAAGCGTGTAACAGAATGAGCTCCTGTTATTTGTCCCAGCTTCTGCAACCTAGCAGTTTGAAAGCATATAAAAATGCAAGTAAAAAAATAGGGACCACTTTGGTGGGAAGGTAACAGCGTTCCGTCATGCCGGCCACATGACCACGAAGACGTCTTCAGACAGCACTGGCTCTTTGGCTTTGTAATGGAGATGAACACCGCCCCCTAGACCCAGAAACAACTAGCACGTATGTGTGAGGGGAACCTTTACCTTTTAGCATAGGTTTTCCTCTATAATAGTTATTACTCAGTTAAAATTTATTTTGTAGTGTATAAAATGTTTCTGCTTTATATTCTCTAACGATTAAATTAATAATAGATTTCTAAAAGTCACAGCAGTGAATTAAGTACCCCGCAAACGGAATGCCCGCAGAACTTTTATTTGAAACCACCTAAAATATTATGCTAATCTGAAATTTGAAACATTTATTTGCAATTTACTAGCCTGAATGTATGCAAAGCTGCTATCTAAAGTATGTTTATGCACCTGCAGCCTGCTTGGGCATTTCCCTGGAGTCATACCTCAAGCAATCTGGAAAGAAAACTATTGTGCTATGTTCAATGTATTTAACTGAAATGCACTTTGCAAATTCTGCTTGATTTTGAAAATATGCCCCACGCATGCGGAAGATTGTTGAACACTCTGATAAATAAATAAAGGTATTCCCTCAACAATAATCCTGGGGAGGAGGGTTAATAGTGATTCATCTAATGGTCATATTTATTGGCACAATGTTCAGGTTTTTAATCAGCAATGCAGTATCTTGGTAATATGTTTGATTTATTATTTCATGCTTTATCAACTTTTTATTATAGCTGAACTGAGCCACAATGCTTTAATGTAACAAAAACCTTCTGGGATAAATTCCTCTTAATATATGCATTTCTAAAATAGGCAAAAGTTGATTAAAATCTTATCCCTGACATTACATACAACATAGTTGCTTGCTTTATTAACAGTAAAGAAAAATGTTAAATAAATAAACAAGATAAAATGCCCCTCATATGAATTACAATTTTTGAGTTTAGCAAACACATCCTGAAAGTGTTATTGAAAACCAACAATAAAATGACACCACAAGGTTTACAGGTAGTTCTCAACTTACAACCACAATTGAGTCCAAAATTTATGTTGCTAAGTGAGAAATTTGTTAAATGAGTTTTGCCCCATTTTACAACTTTTCTTGCCACATTTGTTAAGTGAATCTGGTTTTCCCATTGACTTTGCTTGTCAGAAGATTGCAAAAGGTGATTGATTACATGAATGTGATTGGGAATCTGAAACCGTCATAAATGTGAATCAGATGTCAAGCATTTGAATGTAAATCACGTGACCATAGGAATGCTTCAACCGTCGTAATTGTGAAAAATTGTTATGTCGTTTTTTTCAGTGCTGGTTGTAACTTTGAACTGTCACTAAATGACTGTTGGAAGTTGAGGATTACCTGCATTTTCACATCATTTTCTTTGGCGTACAATAATTTATTTAAATTTATTACTCCCTGAAACTCAACTCCCAAGATAAGTCCACTTCTACTAGTATTCACCCTCACATTCTAGACACAACAGTCAGTAAATCCCAAGCTCTCTGGGATAACTCTGTTGATGTGGTACGTATTGCTTATTGCTACAAAGCTGATTGGCACTTCCAGAGGTCCTACAGCTACCATTGACTACAAGAAGGCAGTCTTCCAGCTGATGACATGGAACAAGATGTAAGCACTGGGCATCATGCATGGACCTGACCCAAGCTGCAGTGAAGCCAGGCCTGGGATATAAAGCACACAAGCCCAATGGCAAGGACTAACAACCCAGTCCAGGACTAGGAGATGGAGGGCTCCTCCACCGTCTGAGCAAGATATCCCTCCTTCAACCATCTGCAACATTCTAAAAACCACCAAATAACGATGGCCACTTTGTTAACACAGTACCAGCCTTGGTACCATGTGTGTATGTGTAGGAGTACACTTGTCACTTGCTCCCCTTAGCACCTACCCCCATACAGACACCCTATTCCAAGTCAAATGTGGAAAAACTCGCTGCTTTACAACAATTGGTTCAAGAACAATTGGCTGCTGGTCATATAGAACCTTCTACTAGTCCTTGGAATACTCCTGTTTTTGTTATAAAAAAGAAAAATGGGAAATGGCGTTTCCTTCATGATTTAAGAGAAATTAATAAATGTATCCAACCCATGGGTCCTTTACAATGTGGTCTACCAAATCCTAACTTAATTCCTAATTTTTATAAATTATTGGTAGTTGATCTTAAAGACTGCTTTTTTACTATACCTTTGCAGCCTCAAGACAAAGAAAAATTTGCATTTACTGTCCCAGTTTTTAATAATAGCATGCCCACAAAACGATATCATTGGCGAGTGTTGCCTCAGGGAATGCTTAATTCCCCTACACTTTGTCAATATTTCGTGGATAATGCCCTTCAACCTTTTCGGAATAAATTTCCTTCCTATTTAGTCTATCATTATATGGATGATATATTGATAGCAGCCCCGGATTTTGATGAATCTAAGTTGTTAAAAGAGTTAATGGATATTGTGGCACAACAGGGATTGGGCGTTGGTTCTTACCTGATACGCCTCTTCTCGTGGAACTGCGTAGAGCATCCAGAGAGTGGGAGGTGCTTCAGTCCTTCCTTCTCACAGGCTGAGTTATAATTGAAGAACGCTCCTCCTTCCTCCACGTGGCTCCTCCATGCGTTCTCCCAGTTTCACGAAGACGAGAGGACAACCACAATCCTCTAACTGAACTAGTAAACAACTCAAGTATATACAATAACGATCATTGGCCGAAAAACAGAATTCCCTACCAGACGGACCAAGAAGGGTGGGGCTGGATGCTCTACGCAGTTCCACGAGAAGAGGCGTATCAGGTAAGAACCAACGCCCATTCTCCGTAGAACTGCTGCGAGCATCCAGAGAGTGGGACATACCAAAGCATGTTTGTCCTACGGGCGGGAC